TTTTTTGTTTTTTTTTTGTTGAAATAATTGGTTAGGCCTTTAAGGGGTTGGGTTGGGGGGGGTTTCCCCCCCCCCCTCCCCCCCCCCCCGTATTATAATGGCATAAAATAGATTTAGCAAAATAAACGATGTCAGGATTTAGGTTTCATTCCGTGGACATCCTCCATCAGATTGTGTGCTAAATGTAGAGAGTATTCCATTTTTCTATTAAAAAAAAAAATCAACTAAGCACTCCCTCTCTCTCTTTCCATCTCTCTCTCTATAATACATATAAATGTTTAAAAAATCTCTTGACCTGCCCCGTCAATAAGCCAAGAGTAAAAGACATCCTTAAGTCTTGGGCAAGAGTAGAAGAGGTCATTAATATTGCATGACTTTATAAAAAATGAGCATTACGGAAGGTCAAATTGAACCAGGTGTCAAGGTTCTCCTGCCAGAAGTGCAGCCGAGTTTGCCATTCCAGGATCGGCCTCGTCAGCCATATGATAAAGTGTCCATGGTTACCCCATCGTCTCGCGAAGACGGGATCATACCATCTTGTTCTTTTATAATTTAAATTGTAATAGAACCAGAAACCTGCAACCATTTGATTAACGTTCTATATGTCATGCATATTATGAAATTATTTCGAGGATTCCACTACCAAACCCCCTTTATGTCTTCCCATGCACACATCATTTGTGTGTTACTATCGTTATCGTAATAACGTGATGTGTACATGCTAACCGAATGGGAATGTCGTGATACTGGTAATTTAGCACAGAGAGTAAATTTTTAGGTTAAAATTTCTCGGGGAAAGCCAGCAGCAGAGCAGCTGTGCGCCATTCACAACTTCGGGATTTCCAGGAAACCAAGTCACTGACGTGTTCCCCGTTTCCCGTGAAAATGGTTTCAGTAAACGCAAGTACACACAAACATTCCTTACGTTCCAAGACCTACATAATTGTACAACGATGGACACAGTGTCAAACTGACTTGCGTTAACTGTGTTATTGGGTAGATGTGTCTTTACCTCGGGCTGGCCTACAACTGACAGTCAGCTGAATCAATTCCTACAGGTGAGTTGGACTTAGCTCAGCGTTTTATATTGTTTGTATGACATGTGCAACAGTTGTATAATTTTATGTCAGGGCGCTGGCGTGGCTTGAGTTCGTGCCACCCGGGGCGGGTCAAGATTTTTACCGCCCCATTCCACGAAACAAACCTTCTGCAGTGGGTCGAAAATGCCGTCACTCGGACTCACTCTTAATAAAGAAAGAGTGCTTCCCGGTGCTGAGCGCCCCCATTAGCACCCCTTTCTACGTCAAGGTGCAGTTTCGTAGGGAGAGGGTTTGGCGCCCGGGGACAAGATTCGCGCCCAGGGACAAGATTAATTTTAAAGCGCCCCCCCCCTTTTTTTTTTCTTTTTTTTCAACTCTCAAAGCCATTTTTTTCCTTAATAAAATAATATCTAAGCACATTTTTGCACCCCTAACTAGTGTGCAGTTTCGGAGGGAGAGGGTTCGGCGCCCGGGGACAAGATTCGCGCCCAGGGACAAGATTAATTTTAAAGCGCCCCCCCCCTTTTTTTTTTCTTTTTTTTCAACTCTCAAAGCCATTATTTTCCTTAATAAAATAATATCTAAGCACATTTTGGCACCCCTAACTAGCTGGCGCCCGTGAACATCTGTCTCCCCCTGCCTCCCTTCGCTACGCCTCTGCCAAGGTGTCAGGGTTTCCTAGGAGTAAGAGGTGGCGTTTCAGGCGGGTGCAAGGAAGTGGGAACTTGAAAGCAGAGAACACATTAGCTTTTAAAGCTCTAATATAAATTATATATATTTTCAAAACATTCATCATTAACATTTTACTTTATGTAATACGGCACGAAATTCTTCTCTGAGTTCTACGGCTTTCTTTGGCATTCTGTCGGTTTATGTGACAAAGTTCTAAGATTACTCTATCTCAAAACTGCCACCAAAACACAATCATCAAATTCATTATTTTTTACAAAACTGCTCGGTCTTTCCGTCTTACACAAGTGGTTCGCATGCTTAATGAGATTAGAAAGACCTTTATTTCTTTGTAACACAGCATGTACCGGTATATATGTTACGGTCAATGCAAATAATTGGGCATTATTTACAATGCCCGAGCAATTTAAAAAGTGCCCAATGGGATGTGACAAAATGATAAATTATATAGAAAATATTAAATTTCCCGGGCATTATGAATAGTCGAGTGGGCAATTTGAGACAATTTGTATTCATAACTTTTCTCTACATACAAAAATAAGATGATGTTATATTAAAACAAATTGTTAGATAACTAACAATCAAAGAAAGAAACACACTGGTGGTGATAAAATAAGTGTACAAAATACTTACGCCTAACTAAAAAAACATATTAGGTATGTACTTACAAAGACATAAACACACAAAATGTCAAATCCTATAGTTTCTATTTATTGGACCAACTTCCACTTTGGTGACTTTCGAGTGACATAGCTTTTTTTTTCCTTTACGGCACTTGCACTTGTCAGATTTACAGCCACATTTACAGCAACATCGACTATAGCCTTGGCCCCCCAGTCTAGGATGACATTCTTGCACATTCTCTTAGTGAATTCTCTGACTGAGGAATTTCTTCGGCATCAATAAACTTTGCATTTACATTTTTTAAATTGGTTCCTAGCATAAAGTTGATTTAGGATTCCATGTTTCGTGCCTAATGTATAAAGATTGGCATCTGTTATTTCAAGAACAAATGCCAACATACTTCTTCCATCGGTGCGACCTCTTTCGACATCTGGGACTCGAACTCTAACTGTGTCACCCTTTTTAACGGCAGGGTATTTTGAATTGGAGGTTTGAAGCATTTTTTCAGCTTGTTTTTTTTAGATTGTTTGCTGAAATCTCCCTAATTTTTAATATGTTGGCTTTTCTTTTTTTTTCACTTTGGGATCCTCTGAGGAATCTTTATAACCTTCATACGCGCGTTTTTCATGACCGGAGAGTTGGATATCAGATGGCGCGGAGACATTGATTTCTCTTTCGTTGTTATGGAAATCAGAACATGGTTCAGATAACGAAGTTGAAGGTTGAACATAACTATCAATAGATGATAGTTCCACCATACGCACGTTGCCGAATTTCTGTCAATCAATTAAAGTGACATAAGAAATTGTCGAAAATGGTTGCTGATTGGCCAACGAGAAACACACCATACGCACGTTGCCAAATTGGTGTCCATTAATTAAAGTGACCAGAGAAATAATAGCAGTATTTATAATGACCGGGCAATGTAATAAATTATCTTAGATTGTCGTAGACTAATACAAAATTATTAATTACATTGCCTGATTTTATCGGTCATTATTTATAATGACCAAGCATTATGAAAACTGCCCTGAATAATCAAATTGACGAAATCTCAAATATATAGTGAAGCAATTGATCATTGGGTGAACTCAGTCCGAAGGTTCGATCTCTGCCAATGAAATCACTTGGCGCATCCGTGGTTTAAAAAAATCCCGAGGGTTCACTCACCCGAGTCAGGGGGAGGGGATGGTTGCCTGGACGCATTTGGTAATACTTTGTGTCCTGTCAATGAATTCAAGGTTACCAATAACTCGTCCTTATATTAAGCGTGCGGTAACAAGGTTAAACGCGCCAAGTGGGTTTGGGTGAAGGACAGTAATGGACGGGCAATAACTGATACTGAAATCGACACCGGGGTGGGGGAGGGGGTGTGTGTTTAACTAGGTGTGTTTACTAGCCAAAGTAGATCAAATTTTCCGGGTCCAGACTGATCCCATCACACCGTGTACCTTAGGGTGTTGAAGGAAATACAATGCATTATTGAAGTTTCTGTAGTATCTGAGGATTCCATGGAAATGTTTATTTGTTTCAGAGATGGACAAGCCGACGTTTCTTCTCGTCGGGCGCCAAGGTCAAGGGAAGAGCTCCGTTGGAAATACTATCCTTCAAACCAAACGCTTTGCGACCAAAACAACAGGGGCAGTGGCCAGCGTGCCGGCAGCCAGTCCTGAGCGTGCTGACAATGACCGAGTCGTCGTAGTGGACACCACTGGTATTGGTGACAGTGGGTCCGACAGGGCAGGTGATGTCCAGTCCGTCATACAATTAGCTAATGAAGCCTCTGTTTGTGGCTTCGATGCCATGATATATGTGCTGAAATATGGGGTACGGTTTACCAAACAAGAGAAAGACGCCGTCCAAATGGTCAAGTCGATCTTTGGAGAAAATGTGTTCAGAGATTGGGGAATTTTAGTTTTCTCTTATGGTGACAACTTTGATCTGGATACGGAAGATGATGGGATGACGTTTGAAGATTGGTGCCAGGAACAAACAGGCGATATAAAGACTTTATTTGAAGAGGTGGACTACAGGTGTGTTCTGTTTGACAACAGGGGCAAAAATACAGCGAGACAAGATCAGGAACGCGATAAGCTACTGAAACTCAAACCTCCCAGGCTGCAACGTTATTCCGACGAGGACTTTCAAGCAGCGTCCGCAGGCCGAGAAAAACTTATCCTCCTGGAGAACTTTCAATCGCTTAAGAAGGAGACAGATGACCTCTTACGTTATGTCGACCAGAGACGTGAGACTCTGCGCAGAAATGACCAGCGACTCAGCAACGATGACCTGACAAAGCAATTGGAAGTCGTTCTACAACAAGCCAAGCAACATTACGACCGACTTCTAGATAAGGACAGAGGCACCAAAGTCTTGAGAGAGCTCCTGGACCAGGTGAGGCTGCGTACCATTGGCTTGGGGAGTCGGATAGACCACCTGCGTCTTGCTATTCCAGTTAGAAGGAATGATATGAGCCTTATTGCAGTTCTTTTCTGGTACTTAATTGGATTGATTCTAAGTAGTTGTAAAATTCCTTTCAATTACTGTCTAAAGCCTGCCATTTATTTTATTTATGGTATAATAGCCAGATGTCTTCAATATTTTTATAATGCACTTGGCCGGCACCAAAGACGCCGAGAAAAATATACAGCATGAATAGTGGTAACATCTGTGAAATGTTTGAAAGTTAACATTATTTCTAGACTAATCAATAAATGAACTTTATCTAGGCTTATCATACATTACAATGTTAAGGAGACAATGTTTTGTGTTAAAAAAGTGAGAAATAAATGGTAACATAATGTCATCAGTGCAACATTTGACATATGTCCAGACTCTGTTGTGTTGTATTCGCTGGTGTACCGTGTTCTGCCGGACCCTGTCATGTTGTGTTGTATTCTTTGTTGTGCTTTGTTCTGTTATGTCGTGTTGTTCCCTGTGGTTGTTTTTGGTAATGTTGTATTTTGTGTTGTGGTCTTTTGTGTTGTGGTCTTTTGTGTTGTGGTCTTTTGTGTTGTGGTCTTTTGTGTTGTGGTCTTTTGTGTTGTGGTCTTTTGTGTTGTGGTCTTTTGTGTTGTGGTCTTTTGTGTTGTGGTCTTTTGTGTTGAGGTCTTTTGTGTAGTGGTCTTTTGTGTTGTGGTCTTTTGTGTTGTGGTCTTTTGTGTTGTTGTCTTTTGTGTAGTGTTTTTTTGTGTTGTGGTCTTTTGTGTTGTGGTCTTTTGTGCTGTGGTCTTTTGTGTTGAGGTCTTTTGTGTCGTGGTCTTTTGTGCTATGGTCTTTTGTGTTATGGTCTATTAACCCTTCTCTACAGTTCTTCACTAATAATAATAACAATAATAATAATAATAATAATAATTATACAATTCATCAGACCTGTTTACCCTCAAACCCTTAAAATCGTACAATATCATCATATAATCGTTCAATACATTCTCTTTATAAAGCAAAAACGTGCTGTATTTATAATGTATACACCTCAAAATCGTACATTGTACGCCATAAAATGAGTAAAACAGAGTATGGTTAAACCTGAAAAATTAAACGCAACAAAACAGCGAACGTGTCGGCAGAAAGCCTTCGTCAGAGAACAAAACAACAGAAAAAACGTTATAAAATTAAGAAATAGCACTTAGCTGGTAAGTAGTATCTGTGGGCAGCAATAGAAGTGTGGCAGAAGGAGAGAAGGTGGCCAAAATCGTAAGAGTAAACAGGTCTGAATTCATTAAAAATAACACGCTTTATCCCTAATCAAGGCTCGCAGGGCAAAACAATGCAAAACGCAACACTACAAAATCCATGTCCTGACCGATTCCCCCGTCTGACCGAAACAAATCAATGCTGCCGGGTGTCGGTCCACGGCGATGACATGTAACGAGTTTGAAATATCCATTTGTTTTGTTTTACTTAATTAATGTATGGTAATTAATTTTTTGAGTACTTGATTATGTTTGTTAAATTGTTTGTATAGCGTGGTGAGCCCAGCCCTAGGCTGGGGTACCACGCTATATAAAACCACTTATAATAATAATAATTATAATATACAAGCCAATCTATTCAACCCCTTTCCTGTACGACCCCATTAAAACTGAATCCCAACTCAACTACCAATTCCTCCCCACCCCGTAGACCTTTCGAAATACTTTATATTACATACATTTTTTCCGGTTGTCGGGAAATTTGATTAAATCAATTTATATAAAAAATGTTGTTGGAACGGAAATTTGTTTAAAATATAATTTATTCAACAGAGATTTATAAAAAAAAATATAAAAAGTTCATTTTTAAAGTAATTACCAGTGAGAATGGTGAAAATGTACAATTTTCACTTGGTATTTACTCTGCGTACTTGGTTCAGTTATTTCAGTTCCAGCTACATCACTGGTTCAACCTTATTTTGTGCTGTTCAAAATGGTTTTGTACAAAGTCGTTTTGTATTAATCTCCAGATGCACACTTTATCCTGTGTTATTTAAGCCACGCAGACAGACGATGTGATTAAATATTTTATACATTATTATGAATGGCGGCCTAAATAAAGTTTTAACACCTCACATGCACGGTTTATAAATGTAGTTAATTCCCCCTTGTGGGCGGTGACACAACTGATAATTTGGAGAGTATTAATGGCTTCTAATGTTACACAGGAAACCATCAAGACAACGTATTACATTGTAAACTGAGACTACTCCCCAAACAATTTTTAGATACAAATGTGTTGCAAAACTCCAGCAAAATGTCACCTTTCCTAACAAAAAAGTCGTAGACTCGTGTGAATTCGGTCACGAAATCTAACGGTGGTTTCGAAAAAGAAGCGTAGTAAGTGTTGGTGCCACCCTGGGCGCGTAAATTTTTGTGCTGCCCACCCAACTTCAAAAAAAAAAAAAAGAACAACACAAAAATTCTCTGCAGTTGCTCCAAAATGTCCCCCCCCCCAAACAAACAAAAAAATAAATAAATAAGGAAACAGAGTGCCGCCTGTGGAGGACCACCCGCCCCACCCCACCCAAAGAAGTTGAAATGTTCCCATTCTCCATCGCACCTTCTCTAACAAATCTTACGACGTCACCATATGCGGCCCCACGGAAAAAAAAAATGTGATTCCCTCCCCAGGCTTCACGAAGTCTTCAGTTATCGCTCCAGACTTAATGATGTCTTCCACTCCTGCTCCAGACTTAATGATGTCTTCGAAGTGCTGTCCCAGATTTACTGATGTCTTCGACTTCTGTCCCAGACTTAATGATGTCTTCGACTTCTGTCCCAGACTTAATGATGTCTTCGACTCCTGTCCCAGACTTAGTGATGTCTTCGATTCCTGTCCCAGACTTAATGATGTCTTCGACTCCTGTCCCACACTTAATGATGTCTTCGACTCCTGTCCCAGATTTAACGATGTCTTCGACTCCTGACCAAGACTTAATGATTTACTCGACTCCTGTCCCAGACTTGATGCTTGCTTCGACTCCTGACCAAGACTTATGAAGTCTTTCCATTATGACTTAATGACGACTTTGACTCTTTCATCAGACCTAGTGATGTTTTTGACTCTTGCACCATACCTTTAAAATCGTCAACACCTGCCCGAGACTTATGACATCCTCCACACCTGCACCAGACTGAATAATATCTCCAAATCCTGCCAAAACATGACAAGCAGTAATCCCAAGGTCTGACTACTCGACTGTTTCAACAGATATCGAAGCACTGGAGATTTGGGATGCTAACACTTCAAAGTGACAGGCTAGTGGTCAGGGGCGGATCAAAATCAAACTAAGCGTGGGGTGCACAATAAAATAAGTAGACGTCAGTGAGCGGGTGTGCATTGTTTGTTGGCCGGCCCCGGGGGGGGGGGATTCTTCCGAATTCTAATTTAGATATTTCATCTTGTCTCCGTGTTCGCACCCACCTAACGTATATATATATATATATATAATAAGGGGTCATATATCAAATAACATTATTAACTCACCAAATAAGGGGTCATATATCAAATAACATTATTAACTCACCAAATAAGGGGTCATATATCAAATAACATTATTAACTCACCAAATAAGGGGTCATATATCAAATAACATTATTAACTCACCAAATAAGGAGTCATATATCAAATAACATTATTAACTCACCAAATAAGGGGTCATATATCAAATAACATTATTAACTCACCAAATAAGGGGTCATATATCAAATAACATTACCTCACCAAGAATTAAAAACAAGTGATGAAATTGCAAACCATTTTTAAATTCTATGCTTTGCTTTGTAGAGTGATTGCAATTTTCTTAATTTTAGGGACTTATCAGTAGATATTTTTAAGAGTCTCATTTGGTTCAGCTATCGGAAATTGTATTGTCTGAAATCAATGGCATCATATTGTGGAGAGTTCGGACTACGACGGCGCCGGGGGCCTCTGACACCGGCGTCTGACCAGGGATTAACGGCTGTCTGACACCGTCTGACAGGTACAGCCGGCGCCAGCTGACCAGGGATCACGATCGACGGATCAAGCCATCTGACCAGGGCATTTACCTGGGACGTCTAGACCTGGCGCCTGGACTGGGAGAGGAACTATGGGACGGGGAGGTATAAATAGGGATCTCTGGACGGGACGAAAGAGAGCGCGGCCGGATGGTTAGCAGAAAAGGCGGCCGGATTGAGAACTAGATAGCAGGGAGAAGTCAGAGTTGTGAGACGAGTGAAAGTGTAAGCAAGTGACAGCCAATAAAGAAACGAGTTTAATCATCAAATGTATCACCGGAGTTGTTTCCTTATTGAGTACCAGATCTAGATGAAGTTAATCAGAGAATAAGCAAGGATTCCTTACAATATAAAAGATCTGAAGTCCGAAATCTTAATGAGAACTAATAAACCCTGATATGGCTAAGAGAACTCACGGAATGGCTGCCAGTGAAAAAAAAATATTACAAATGTCTTGTTTCAAATTGTTTTTTTTTTTTATATGTGCTGAAAATGTACAATGCAATCATAAAACATTTCCATTTGTTTGGATCAATAAAAGAATCTTACTTATCTTACCATTGCATTTACGACATTATCCCTCCACAACCCAACACATTCCCATGCACACCTTCGTTTGAATCAATGGTATGTTATATGCGTCGTCTGGACATGTGAACCTGAGTTGCCAACCGCCCGCAATGGCGTAGCTAGGGTCACTGCCGCCCATGGCGCGGCAATATTTTGTTTGCCCCCTCGCCAAAAAAAAAAAAGAACAAAACAACAACGTTGCAGTTGACTGAAACGGCGCCCCTTTAATGTACAGACACAAGTAACGCCCGGTGCGGACGGCCCCATGCGCCCACCCTTCCTACGTCAGTGAATGTCCGTACAAAAATTGACGTAAAATAGCTCGTCCGTAGGTTGTCCGTAAATGTCTGTGAATGTCCGAAAGTTCCTTAGGATGTTAATGAAATAGTGGACAATGAACAACCCCCCCCCCTCCCCCCCCCCAAAAAAAAAAAAACAAAAAAAAAAATGTTAGAAGCGAAAAATACCGGACAGAATCACTTTTATGATGTATTCTTGCCGGCTTTAAGCTTATAATCATAATCTTATGATCGGTTCGGGAGTGATTCAACACCGGAGAGAGGTCTTTGCAATCAATGAACTAACTTGATAAAATAGCCCCCACTGACGAGTCATACACATGTTGTCATAAAACATTGTCGCAGGGATCTCTTCGATTTATAGTGCTTGCGGTGTGGCTGCTTCCATTTCCAGATAGCGCGCAAAATATATTTCCCGATAACTACGTTAAATGATTTGTCTTTTCAGAAAATGACATCGTCTCAATTTCAATACGGTGTAAGAAACATTCATTTCAAAAGTGGTTGGGACATCAGAATATTAATATAGCTCATGGGCGTGAAATAAAAAGTGTGCAGTGACGTATCATGGGTGGGGGGGGGGGGAGGGGGGTAGCAAATTAAATGTTTTGTCAAGTAACTTTAGTAGATGGCAAGTTCGCGCGTTGCTGTCGCCAAACTAGTATTTGAATATTTTTCTTTGTTAGATTATTTTTAAAACTGTGCCCATAAAAAAAAAAAAATCATGCTTACGAGTAAAAAGATTTAAAATGTTAGTCCGTAATGCCTTTTTTAAGTCGGCAACCCTGATGTGAACCCACTGGGATATCGTGATAATGGTTGATTTAGCGCAGAGAGTATTTTTTATTATTAAACTTTCCCCAAGAAGGCACACACTAGTAACAGCGGTGCAAGATAAAACATTGGCATTTAAAAAAAAAAAAAAGAAATCTTGTCCCTGACGCGGTCTCGTTTCCCCGGAAAATAACTTCAGTAAATCCAAGTCCACGCAACCAGATCACGTCCCATGACCTACATTAAAGCAGCACAGCTTTCAACAGAATCGAACGGACTCAAGTCAATGCCGATACTGGGCAATGTGTGTTTACTTCTTGGTGCGTTGCGCCTATCGCCTCGAGTGAACTATACCCAGAGAAAGTATACATTAGTGAAAGTATACCTGAAGAGACTAAACCTAGAGGTAAGCAGTAAGTTGGACCGATCTCTACGGTGGTTGCCTTGTGTAACAAACACACACCATTTTTTTATAGTCTTGTGTCATGAGATCAAGATCAGATGATTTGTTTTAAACATCGAGTTCCAACATTCTATTGTTAAAGTAACAATTTCTATGCAAGTCTGCGACAGTCTAGGGCAGTTTATCATTTCTTTGTTTGAGAGCAAGGCCGGTCCTTCGGTTGCTGGCTCACCGGGTTAACTTAACCTTGGCACCCCTTTAAGTATAATTATCAAAATGTTTTTAAAGAAAAAACAACTAGTGGGTTAGATAATGAGTTGATAACCTAGATTGTTTTTTCAACCAATAATGAACAATAAAATATTCTTGTTCTTAACTTGTATTTTGACAAAGTGAACAAGTAGCCTACCGGGCGTGGGGCAGTATGAACAATTAGCCTACCGGGGGCAGTATGAACAATTAGCCTACCGGGGGCAGTATGAACAATTAGCCTACCGGGGGCAGTATGAAAATTAGCCTACCGGGGGCAGTTTGAGCAATTAGCCTACCGGGGAAGTATGAACAATTAGCCTACCGATTAAATTTTTCTTCTAGCCTTTAGATCAGCAAATCTTTTTATTGCACTTTCTATTGTTCTTCCATGGCACCCACATGCAATGCTTTTATGTATTTAAAAAAAAATCGTCGATGGCACCCTTAAGCACACGGCGCCCCGGGCAACTAACCGAGTTTCCGGCACCTTGAGCCGGCCCTGTCCGTGAGATGGTGGTTGCGTTCGCGTCATCTGTCGATGTGTAAGACATAAACAATGGAGGAGGTGTTTCGTATTAAAATATTTTTTCGGATAACCGAGAACTCGCACGGAAATGTTCCGTTAGAGAAGTTAATGCAATTTAATACAAAATCTTCTCACATAATCATAATAAACAACTAAATAAGTAACCGGTTTTGACCCCAAACTGTGTAGCTTAAAGTTCACACAGATGGTGTTTTTGGCACGCAGTTCTGTAAAGGATGCACACTATTTCTTTTAACACAAAACAACCCATCGAATTATCCAAGGGGAAGCTACAGGTGAGCTCCCGCCATTCATGATATTTGTGTGCAAAAATGCAACAAAAGAATAAAAAAAACAAAAAAGCAACAAAAAAAAAGAGATCTAAACTTTAATCAATTAATGAGAAACGGAAGTCCATTAATTGTGTCAACGAATTCTAGGACATTTTGATCCTCTCCCTTGTCTACAACTTTTAAAATAAAAAAAAATTAAAATAATAAAATAAAATAAATAAAGTAAATAAATATAAAAAAAACCCCTCTGTCCAACCCCCTCTCCCCTGTTTTGTTGACTTAATTAATTTCAGCCCCTAGCCTGCCAGCCTGGCGTACAGTTCTCCATGTGTTCCGTAGATCGTTGAAGTATAAAATACTTTGTTTACGTTTCTTCACTGTCTCATGACGACTTATTATCGTTTCAGCGATGCGTAGACGAACTTTTCTCGTTGTTGGACGCCAAGGTCAAGGGAAGAGCTCCGTGGGTAATTCTATACTACAATACAAATATTTTACGACAAAAACAACCAGGAGAGAGGTCACTGAATCGAAACCAAATGTCGATGTCGCCGAGAATGAAGGGGTCGTCCTAGTGGACACTACTGGTATAGGTGACACGGGGTCTGACATGACAGGAGATGTCCAGTCTGTGATAGCATCTGCCCGTGAAGCTGTGGTTCGCTGTGATACTGGGTTCGACGCATTGCTTTTGGTGCTGAAATACGGGGTCCGGTTCACCAAACAAGAGAAGGACGCCGTACAAATGGTCAAGTCGATCTTTGGAGAAAATGTGTTCAGAGATTGGGGGATTTTAGTTTTCTCTTATGGTGACAACTTTGATCTGGATACGGAAGATGATGAAATAACGTTTGAAGATTGGTGCCGGGAACAAACAGGTCATATAAAGACTTTATTTGAAGAGGTGGGCTACAGGTGTGTTCTGTTTGACAACAGTAGCAAATATACAGCGAAACAAGATAAGGAACGCGAAAAGCTACTGAAAATCATAACTCTCAGTCAGCAACCTTATTCTGAGAAGGACTTTAACACAGCATCGGCAGGGCGAGAAAAACTCATTGTGGAGGAGAAATTGCCATCACTTAAGAAGGAGACAGAAGCCGTCTTACGTTATACTGACCAGAGACGTGAGAACCTCCTCAGAAATGACCAGGGCCTCGGCCAAGATGACCTGATAAAGCAAGTGGAAGTCGTTCTCCAACAAGCCACGCAACATTACGACCGACTTCTAGACGAGGACAGAGGCACCAACGTCTTGAGAGAGCTCCTGAACCAGGTGAGACTGCGTACGATTGGACTGAGGAGTCGGATAGACCAGCTGCGAATTTTTATTCCAGATAGAGGTCAAAGGAGGAATGATGGAGGCCCTTCTGTAGCTGTTTTTTCGTCCGTTATGGGATTTCTTCTAAACAGTTGTAAAATTCCCTTTGATTACTGTTTAAAGCCTGCCTTTAATTTTATTTATGATACAATAGGAAGATGTTTTCACAATTTGCACAATGCACCTTTTCAACACTCAAGACTTCAAGAAAGTTATCCAGTCTGAATAGTGATGATATCGGGGACTGTTTTGAAACATAACATTATTTCAAGATTTTAAAAATAGACCAGCTTCAGTTCGGCCTATCATACATTACAATATTCGGGTGATGATGTTTTGGTTGAGCAAATGAAGAAATAAATATTTACAATATATTGTAAGTGCAACATTGAACATATGTCCAGGTTCTGCTGTGTTGTATTCTATTATTTTTCTGTTCTTTTGTGGTCTTTTTGTGATGCGGTCTTTTGTATTTATGTCTTTTGTGTATTGGTATTTTATATTGTTATCGTTTGTGTTGTGGTCTGTTGTGTTGTGGTATGTTGTGTTGTGGTCTTTTGTGTTGTGTTATTTTATGTTGTATTATTTTGTGTTGTGGTCTTTTGTTATGCTGTCTTTTATGATATGGTCTTTTGTGATGTGGTATTTTGTGTTGTGGTCTCTTGCTTTTGGTATCTTAGGTTTTAGAACATTGTCTTGTGGTCTTTTATTTTGTGGTCTGTTGATTTGTGGTATTTTACATTATTATCTTTTATGTTGTGGTCTTTGGTGTTGTGGTCTTTTGTGGTAAAGATGACACTTTGCAGCATATGCTATAAACGTGGTTTACAATAAATTGTGTACATTATAAGAACACGTGTGGCCATCATGCTTTTGTAGTAATGGCTACATCTCCTATTATAATTTATTTCTGCTCGACAGACTTATTATTGGAGTGGTTGACATTTTTGTGTATCAAATTTATCATCACAAATAAAAGTAACTGATACTCACTGTCTCCCAAAAAGCATTTGAATCTTTCCGTTTTACTAATTTGTCAAGATACCAGAAAGATAAGGCGTAAAGTTATGTTGGGGGGGTGGGGGTGTGGTGGGGGTGGGGGGTGGGGGTATCAAAGGTCAATCCGCCAATAATAAACACGTGGATTCCAAGGAACCTCAGGTAACAATTCATTTGGGGTGAGATATGGGAGATATCAATACTGTTTAAATCATTTCAAGGGTTAGTTTAATAGTACATTTAGAGTTCATTCATAGTTCAGGGATAGTGTAATCCAGTCTTAGTAATAGTTCTTGTTTGATCGGCTGTGCTAGATATCTTTTGGCAGCTTCGGTTTGGTGGACCCGTCCCATCTTGAATATGTGTCTAACAGTTGTATAGTGTAGGATATATATAAATTAGTATGTGAGTTGCCATGAATTAGTGTGCATAGTCAATAAATGAATATATATGTATCTATATATATATATATATATCTATATATATATCTATATATATATATATCTATATCTATATCTATATATATATATATATATAATATATCATAAACATATATAAAAGTGAAAGTTTGTTTGTTTGTGGCTGGCTGGATTTGTTTCACATGCGTCTTTACATGGATTGATGGATCTTGATCAAACTTGGCTCATATATCCATCATTATCCGGAAGGAACTCTTAAGGGCTTATGAGCTTTTTATCACATTCCGTTTGGAGCCGGGGCCCCAAATTTGTTTTTTTTCTTTTATGAGCTATAAACATATAATTGACAACAAATACTCCATTAAGTAAATGCATATTGACAAAACTTAATACACATACAGTTTATTATCCATATTAAAATACCGAAGGCTATTGTTATGTAGGATGTGTTTACGTCACACTTTCACCGTGCCGTGAACTCTGTTTGACCCCAACTTAGACTGCGTTCGTATTGGGCGTGGCCTACTTCTTTTCATCTTGCCGTGTTTACTAGCGATACCAACTAAAAATAATTAATCTGCTTCGCATAGTATTTTGTGGAACGTTCGCCATTGGACTAGAAAAGTAAACAATGTGTAAGGCGTCTCTGGATGCGTCGGTAGACCCACTATATAATTAAGGGGGTTCAGAGATTCACGGAGATTCAGGAAGATATTTTTAACTTCACGAGACAAGTGTATTATTCTTTGTGTACTCAAATGTGTTTATTCGCATTTATCATCGTACCTCATTTTTTTGGCACATTGTACTAACTGCGTACCGGTACAAGATATACCATACTCTGTAAGATGATGTTTGTAATTATATTTCTTTTCTTTTGTAATTATATTTATACTTAAATAAATCTTATTAATTGTAATTAGTACTGTTTTGAGAGTCGTATTTTTGCTATTGTATTTCTCTATGGTATCGTCCTTTGTTAGGCACTGTTTAGAACGAGCCAATAAATAAAACTTAAGAGATACATTTTTCACTATAGAAGACAGTATTTACCTTATAATATCCATTCCTTTGGGGCCGGTGACCCCATTTCATTTTCCCTTATATAACCTATATAAATATCAATAGGCTGAGTACTCATACATGAGTAGATGGATCTTGACCAAACTTAGTACACATATACTTGATTATCCTTATTAAAATACCGAAGGGTACTGAGCTCATAATATCCACCCCTCTGGGACCAGGTGCCCCATTTAATTTTTACGTATTTAAGCTATATAACTATCAATAGACTCAGACAACACTGTTGTTTCTTTGTGAATTGATGGATATGTACCTAGCCTGGTAGCAATACACTTCATGGTTCGTATTGAAATATCGGTGGATTTCAAACTAATAATAACCAATCCATGCAGGGGCCTATCTAGAGTTTTCTAGAAAGTTCCATAATTTTAAAAAGCTATTTCTATGGTATCTTTAATCCAATTTTAATGGGACAAATTTTAAATTTCAACTCCATAATTTACCTGAATGATTTTTATAGGGCCCCCACCCCATCTCAGACATAATTTAAACGGCACTGTATTAAATGGGCCACCACCGAGCCCCCCATTTCTTTTTAAATTTACTATAGTTATAGTAGTTTAATTAAGTTGTATAATATTTCGCATTCGAGAAAAAAATACGTAAAAGTAATTTTTTACACGTTTCATGGAAGACATTTATTTTAATCTATAATGCCCTAGAAGGTTCTTTATTGTTCTACGGGGACATATAATGGGATCTAAAAGCTTTATCCTATCTGTTACGCGATCCTATCGAGTAACGCGATGAAACCGAAATCGGGATCCAATCGAGAAAAGGGATACCATCGGAAAAGAGAGCCCCTAGGTGGAACGGCATCCCACAGAGAACGGTATCCTAACGGGATCAGTAGTCCATCGGGATCCCACTGATTAAGACACCAACGGGATCGGTATGACAACGGGACCTGGATTCCCACTGGGCCTCATGAAAACGGGATCCGACCGGGAACAGGATCACACAGCGAAAACGAATTGCGCCGGGATCGTGTTCAGAATGGGTTTGGGAACTTACTAGGATCGTGCTCCTGATGCAATGCCGTGCAACGCCGGGTATATTGGCTAGTATATATATATATATATATATATATATATATATATATATATATATATATACACACATACACACACATACATATATATATATATATATATATATATATATATACACATACATATATGTTAGACTGAGCAAGGCTGAAGAAATGCCAGAGAAACGAAGCAATTTAACTACGTTTGCATTCTTAAAAACAATGATAGTGATTTTCTATTATTTTTAAGAAAATCGAATACATTTAAATGCGATTTAAAATATGTCCCCTCTTATTTTAGTAAATAATTAAGTAGTATTATTAAAAATTAAAAACAAATATTAATATAAACATTCAAAGTACTATTTAAATAATTTTATTCAAATTTGAAACTTATGAAAACAAATTAAATTTAACCTTTTTTGATCTACATTATAAGAATTACATTATAATCATATTTATCGCGAATTCCTCCCAAAATCTGTTGTTTTTAATGCATTTTAAGTGAGCTCTTAAAATTGCAAAATAAAATTAAAATTAATTTGATCAAAATCAACACGCAAATGACGTCATAGCGCAAATGGCTTATTTAAGCCAAAGCTCTAAGTTTCATTAGTTTAATAACTACCCGCGACAAAACTGATAATGTATTTTCCCCAACTTAAAAGTAAAATCAATAAATAAAATCCCCAAAATATGCTTTCATCCATTAAAATTTAGAAAGTAATACAAACTTAACATTCAAATGTGCTTCTAATAATAAAATACCGTTTAACTCAGTCAGTGCAGTGAAACCCCATAGCCAAATAGCATTCACTAATTCACTTATCACGCATTCAAATAAGAACAAACCTTATGGAGTGCAAAAATGTTTGTTTACGTTCGTATGGGGCTACAATCCAGTAGATGATTTTATTAATTTTTGTCAAAATCCTGGGAGGAGGGAATTAGATAATTTCATTTTGCCTAAGGCAGAACAAGATGCGAGTCAGAATAAGGTAAATAATTAGATAAGTAATGAACCTTCTTATGTACATACCTATCGGGGGTAGGAAGTAAGATGTGTACATATTATCGTGGATGATAATATCTTTTAATCTTATGATATTACAGTTCTGAAAAAGAGACATTACATTCTCTATTTACAAATAAACATATGTTTAACAATAACTGTTAATAATTATTATTATTTCAAAAAATCAATGGCTTCAACTCAACATGGGTACATTTACATAAGTATAACCATGACGTCATCAAAACGTTTGTACATTTACATAAGTGCACCCATTAATATCAAAACACCACCATTTTACACACTTGAAAATTTGAGTTTAAAAAATGAAGATGGGTTATGATTTTCTTTCAAAAAGTGAAAATACATATTTTTGTTTTTACGTTGTTAACACTGTCAAACATTCAGTGACGCCCCCTCCTCTCNCCCCCCCCAAGTAATTTTAACAATGTATTTATAACCCCCTCCCCCCAATGAATTATAATATAAATAAATATATAAATACATTTTACTCTTTGCTGATCTATTTTAATAATACAAATTTTTTGGAGATTTTTTAAATTACATTTTTAGCTTGTAAATCGACAAGTTAAAAAGATTTTACACTTACATTTTATAATGCAGAATCAATTAAAAGGTTGTTAAAGACTAAATATCATTGTTTGTAGAAGTATAAATATGATAATTTCAGTAGAGCTGACACTTGTAGCATAGTTTCTAGCTGCTATCATTTTCCGAGGGAGTAGCCTGGTGTTGCTTTATCGTAACATCGGGCATGGTAGCGGATTTATTATTTTCATCTTGCGGAACTGATTCAACATCACCCTCATCTAACCATTCAGCACTTAAAAAAGAATCGTTGTCAGTGAGCAATAACTGCCATAAGCTCTCTCAGTCTCCTTGCAGCTACTCGCATTGGTCGAATCCTTTTTTGTTGAGTAGCAGGTGGTCATTTCTTATGCATTGTCGGTGCTGTTGAACATGCTTTTTTGAACTTGACTTGTGATGCAAAATAGATGTTACAGATTTTTTAAAATCCGTTCAAGCAGCGATATTATTATTGTTACCCACTTTACTTACCCCTATTTCTCACCATACGTTATTCCTACTCTATCAATATATCATTTATTTTGACTGCACAGGACACTTGAACCCTTTCCTTTTTCCATAGCTGCAACACGATCGCAAATATACCGCCCTAGTCATTTATGACAAACAGAATCTGCAGGCGAAGAGAGGCCAACTTTTGACTTCTCTTCCACTAACAAAGAATGCTAACATTCTCACTAGCCATCAGCAGTGCACAGACAGACACACATTCAATAAATCTTATGTTGTTGAAAGCCTAAAAATTATATTGCTATTTTAATGTACATCATTCAATTTGTTTCAATAATGTAATAACCCGTCAATTTTTAAGATTAAAATTTTAAAAGAGATAACATGATGGTTGACGTCAAATAATCTACCCCCCCCCCTTCCCCCTTGTCAACAATTGTCAAACATTTCCAAACCCCCTCCCCTATTTTG